AATATAGAAAATGGTATATGCAGGCAGGAATATGCCTGGAGAAGGATGGGTAAGAAATAAGCATTCCGACCCCAGCCCCCCACCTTACGAGTTCCTCCTGTTATCGAAACAATGGTAAGTCATGACACACCAGCAGTTGTACAGTAATTGTGAGGTGGAAATTCTTGATAATACGGACAGAGGAGACAATGCGGCAGGGGGTGCCATCAGCATGAACTGAGCTCCTTCTTCAGAAAGCAGCTCCTTTCTCCAAAAAAAAAAAAAAAAAAAGGGGGGGGGGGGTAGCCACAAAAGTGGAAATTTTTTTTTCATTTTTTTTTTAAAAAAAGCACTGATCACAGATTAAACATCATTACTTTCTGATTGGCTCTGAACTTGAGAGAGTGCGAGAGTGCGCACGCATAAATAATAAAAAAAAAATGGAAAAAGAAACCTCCCTCCCTGACCCCCAAAAATAAATACATTGGCTTCTACTAAGTCAGAAGTGGTAAAGGCTGCACGACGGAGGGGCAGGAGGAAGAGACGGGGAAGGCAGAGGGCTGACGGAAGTGTGCGTGAGTGTGTATGTACATGTGCGTGCCTGTGTACACACTGAAAGACACACAGAAAAAAAAATAAAAAAATAAAACCCACACAGGAAGCGCCTGTAAATTTTAACACAGAAGACTGGAGAGAATTTTAAGTGTCCTCATTCATATCTTGGCTGTCTGTCCGGGCAATTTTGCGAGGTGGGGCAGAGTTTTCACCTTCTATTTCCACTTGCTCAGGATCTCTTTTCTTTGCTGCATTCTAACAGGAGGGGGGGAAAAAGACAAGAAAAATTAGATTGGTTTGACTCCCTCTCACTTCAAGCCTCCCAATCTTTTCTCAGAGTTTTTGAAATTGGATTCTCTCCCAAAGCAAACATCAGATATCAATTTTGCTTCCAGTAGACTTCTGATAGTGAAAACAAGCAAGCAAAACACGGTAGGCTAGAAGTTGCTTGTTAATTATCCCAAATGAGATTTCACTAGAGATAGGGATCTATAAGTCGTTTTAAATCCGCTATCCTCCCTGTACAGTTTCTAACATGCATACACACTGAATGGTACTTGACAACAATTTTCACAAAAACCCCTACCTTTTTGTCCCACTGCTGATGTAGGTAACGCAAGAGTATATTTGTCTTTTCTGTGACAATTACTGTGGAAGAACGACAAGAAAAAAATGATCAGTACAGAATGAAACAAATCCACAAGAAAGCATTGCAGGGTTCTGGACTCCACTGACTGTAGTATTATGGGGGGGGCAGAGGTTGCTTGCTTGGAGCTTAAACCAAGCACAGAGTAGGGCTGTCACTCAGCAGGGGAACTCCACATCTCACATGTAGAAAGGCACAGGTTCGATCCCTGGAGATCATCTCTCCATCCCCCAAAAAGCAAGAAAATTATTTCCACAGGATCTTATGGAACTTGTAGCAATCAGGGAAGGTGCAATTCTGACTACAGAACAACCGGTTCCATCAGAAGTAGAGGCGCCGTTAGCCTTATTCAAGACCAAATAATGAAAATACAGGTAATCCTCAACTTACACCCATTCATTTAGTGACCGATATTACAATGGCACTGAAAAAAGTGATTTAATGAAAAAAAGTGATTTAATGAAAAAAGTGATTAATGATCAGTCCTTGCACCTAATAATCATTGCGGCATCCCCACAGTCACTTGATCAGAATTCAAGCACCTAACAACTGGCAATGCAGTTATGATGGTTGCAGCGTCCTGTGGTCACGTGATCAGCATTTATAATCTTCCCAGGTGGCTTTGGACTACCTGTAATAAAACCAC